AAGCTGCGAGATTATCAAGATATCCCTGTAGTCGATTACTTGCTTCTACGCGACTTTTGGAATTATAAATGACTGCGATGTCATCAGCATATGTCGCAATAATAGCCTTAGAGGGAGCTTCCATATGTTGAGAGGTGGGGCTGGGTATATCTGAAGTATACAAGGAGAAGAGCAGCGGACCAAGAACACTGCCCTGCGGCACTCCTGCTCGCATAGTATAAGTGGACGAGTATGTGTCCCTTACCTTGACCTTGAACTCTCGTCCTTCCAGATATGACCTTAAAAGACCATAGTACGGTGCAGGTAAAAGGTTTTTTATTTTGCACAGTAATCCATCGTGCCACACCTTGTAGAACGCTTGTTGCATGCCAATGAAGACAGCGTTGGAGAACTCTAGGTCGTCAAAAGCCTGCATGATGTGTTTCACCAATCTATGGACCTGTTCCACAGTGCCGTGTCCCTCTCGAAAGCCGAATTGGAGATCCGGCAAGATATTGCATTGGCTTATTATGGCAGTAATCCGATTGGCAATAGTCCTCTCCCATAATTTAGACAAGGAGGGTAAGAGACTTTTTGGCCGATACGACTCAGGATCAACTTCTGGTTTCCCTGGCTTGAGAATCATCAGAATCGCTGCTAATTTCCATTGCTTTGGGAACACTTGGAGCCTGATAATAGCATTAAAAATTAATACAATATAGAGGAGCGCTCTTGTAGGCAGGGCTTTCAACGTAGCATTACAAATCCTATCGATACCCGGAGTCTTATATTTCGGCAATAACTGGATCGCTTCTGTTATTTCTTCAATCCTTATAGGATCAATAGGCAGGGACATCTGCAGTGGGGTCTGGAGATTCTGATGGGTCTCCCTAGTCTGCTCTATCGTAGCAAAGTCGTAAGGAGTGAAACGAGCCTCTAGATGGTATCCGAAAGCATTAGCCTGTTCCCTTTCGTTTTTAGCAAGTTCGCCACCAGGACATCGGACAGGAACCTGTCTAAGGGGTTGTCGTTTAAGCGATTTTGTGCATTTCCATAGAGAGTAGTTCGCATCGACGGTGTAGTACATGGAAGCCAGTTTTTGCTCGAAGAAATCACTTCTGAGTTCCCTTAAGAGGAGACGTAGCTGTTTTGCTGCTCGATTCCATAAAATTCGGTCCCAAGGATCTTGAGATCGAATTGCCCTTCTTCGGAGGCGCCTCTTTGTTCTAATTAGATCTTTAGCTTCCCTCGTGAGAACAATGCCATAACTAATGCGGCGTGACTCATGATTGGGTGGGGTTGTGGCAGTAGCAGCTCTATGTATATTTTCTGTTAGAAAATCTACCGCGTTCTCAATGTCTTCTCCAGAGTCCAGAGTCGAATTTAATTGAATGGAGCATTCCATATGTTGTCTGAAAGCCATGATGTCAGTACGGTTGGTAATTAACCGAGGGGTTGGCCTGACATTGGAACCATCTGTTTGCAAATTTACAACAAGGGCTATATGGTCAGAGTCCAAGTCCCAGCTTTGGCAGATATTTGCTTGAGAATCCAGTACACCATGGTATAATGCGAAATCAATGCAAGTAGGTGTGTGTCTAGACACATGTGGATATCTAGTTGGTGATCCTGTAGCAAGAATGTTAGCTCCTGTAGGTAGCTGGCTGTAATGGCTTCGGCTAGTTCCCGGCCCCTGGGTGAATTGTAGGTATCTCCCCACAGCCAATGTCGCGCATTCCAGTCTCCACCAATCAGATACCTTTGGCCGCAAGAAGCGAGTATGTCACTGAAGTGCCTCTCTTCAATTCTATTCCGTGGTGGACAGTATATGGCACTATATACCATGTCTCCCAAACCTGTGGCAACTTTTATTGAAGACATTTGTATGGTTCGCGTTTCAATGACCCTTTGTGAAAAATGGCGGAGAGAACTCCTCACGAATACCGCCGCTCCTCCGCCGCCGTGATTGTGACTTGCTGGCTTGTAAGCTGGATAGAAGGTATACCCGACTATATAGACTGTTTCCCCTCGGTTTAGTCTGATCTCATTTAAGAGGAGAATATCGACGTTGTTGTTGTGCGCGAAGAGCTCAACTTTTCTGGCTTTTCCTGCAATGCCATTGACATTCCAGATAAGGATCTTGAGTGAATTCATTGTGAGGCTGAGGCGTTTTTATAGAGCTGGCGAGTCGATGTATCCCCAGTCCATTGCTTTATCATGTTGGCCATTTCGTGAACCATTTTCTCGAGCCGTTCTAGTCGTTGACTGTTTTGCTTGTTTTATTGTTGTTGTTCCCGTTGCTGCTCCTGAAGCCATAAGAGGAATTGCTGCTGCTGCTGTATTTGCAGCTGTTGTTGCCATTTCAAAAATTGCTGTTGCTGTTGTTCCAATAGTGACTGAACGTCAACTGGATGCTGCTGCTGCATAATATTTTCTTTTGGTAGTTGCGCTTGAAGATCATGTAGACGGAGCTGGGCAGGTTGGTTGCCGTTTCTTGCTATTGAGGCATAGGACTTGCCTCCATTATTGACGCTTGAATTGTTAGAAATTTTTTGTGTTTGTTGCTGTCGAGTTGGTTGTTGCTGCTGCTGTTTTCGTTGCGGTTGTATCTGCTTTGCTTGATTTGTATCCCTGCTGATCTGTCTGGAAGGCAACGTGGAAGACTGTTGCTTCATTGCAGAGCCCATTGATCGTCTAAGATACTCCTGGTACCACTGGCATCCTTTATAGCTTGCCATATGATTCCCATTACAGTGGATACAGGTAGGCTGTTCATCTTGGGGACGTGCGCATAGCTTGGTGAGATGATCTTCACCACATCGTGCACAATTGGGATGACGACGGCAGTATTTGGCTGTGTGACCGTATTCCTGGCATCGTGTGCATTGGGCGATTTCAGATGTTTTGCGCATCCTTTCTATACTCACTTTTTGTCGGCAAAGTGTTTTGATATCATATATTTCATTAATTTTAGCGCATGGACTAATATTAATGAAGAATATATTGAGCTTTTCGTCTTTGTTAATCCTTGATCTTGGGTTATGTACCTGCAGAGCATCAAATCCATTTCTTTTAAAATTGGAAATAATTTCGTGGCTTAAAGTGCTTTGGGCTTTGGGGTATTGTTAAGATGATTGTTCGATTTGGATACGTTGTGTTGTGGGTTGTTGGCTGTGTCACTTGCATCAGTGCTATCATTAGTAATATTCTGATGAGCAGCCTCAGAAGCTCTAGTAGGACCTTCATTTGTAACTCTAGAACTTTCGTCAGCATGGCTTCCACTGGTAACTTCCATGTCCATTTCCATGTCTAGCAAGGCAAACCTGTTGCTAGAGTTTGCCATGCTAGTTGATGCTGAGGGTGAGACCAGCTTCAAATCTTTGTTCGGCCTCGAAACGGTTGTATTGGGAGATAAAGATTTCTTCCTCTTATTTTTCAATTTTTTTTGGTCTGCCACCAATTTTGTAGCAGCTCCACTGAGTGTAGGAGCGGCAATGTCTGAGGAGTGTTGGGTGCCACAAGCTCCATGGTTATCCATGCTTCCGCCAGGGCTCATACTGCTGATTGCAGCAGTTGCCACAGTTGCCGTGATGTATGTAGGATTACTAGTAGCACTAGTAAATGTTAGTGTTGTGGTTACTGTGCTGATGTTCTGAGTATCAGTACATAGAAGGCGGTTAAAAAACTCTGACCTGATCTCCAATGGTGAGTTCCCAGCTACTTGGCGCATTAATTCATAATCAATCTGCATATTACTAAGCTGAGAGTTAGAAAAAAGGCTATCATCCATTTTAATTTGATTTGTGTTACTTAGCTGATAAGCGCGGCGTTTATTGCCCCTCTTGTGCGGCTGCGCGCAGAGAGAGGGGTAATGTTTTGCCCAAACGGGCAGCGAGTGCAGTCTTGTCGCACTACACGTGTGTTTTGTTGTTGTCAAACTGCCGACACTGTAGGTTGCACGATAGATTAACACTTGCTTTGTCTATGCACGACTTAACCGTTCTCGTTGAGAGTAGATTAGCGGCATTTAATTAAATAAAAACAAATTCGCTATGCGAAAAGCACGTTTTTGGCATTCACTTGTCAACGCGGACCAGTGTTGTCTAGTATTTATATTAAAATACAAAATAGCAATTGTGCCTCTAAATATGCAACAGTTGCCAATTTATTTTTAAAACTCATATTTTTGTAAACAACAACAGTTTCACATATTCAATAAAATTCATTCGTTCCCCGAAAATTTACGCAGTGTCAATTGACTATAAAGCGTTCACATTCCTTATGCCCAAACACATGTGCTATACCGCTAGCTGGCGCTAACGCGAATGCTTATCAGAAGCTGAGAAGGCTATTCCTCAACTGTGTTTGGCTAGATTGCGCCCGTTTAAAGTTATTATAACCGTTTTCCATTGATTGCAAATTAGTCTTCATTATCAAAGCAATTGACAACAATTTTAAAACATAAAAAATTAACCGTCAACACAAAAAAAAACAATAATGGAAATTGAAAAATCAAAAACAATTACCAACTACACTCCGCAAGCCGAAAATTCAGCCGATCAACTGTCGTGCTGTCGACTACTATAGATGGCTAAGCACTGCTTAGGAGTAGTGGTCAAACATGCCTGGCTGCAATTTATGCAGGTATTTGCATTGAAGACAACAAATCTCTAATATATCTGTAATCAATTGCCAATCAAAAAAATAATAATAATGTTAGTTCGGTAAATTAACACTTAAACCTTTTTAATGAAGCCTTAAAAGAAAAGGTTTTAAAGAACTTTTATTAATTTCTTATCACGAACATACAATATTAAAGTTATGTTTAAATTAATAATTATGTGCTATTAATGGGTTGCTTAATAAATTGGATTATTCTTGCAGACGTGATCAGATATTTTTTGGGAGCTTTGCTAATTGTGGGCACGCAGATCATAATTGAATAGGGTATACCCTATACACGAGTGTCTAACACCATCAGACATGTCGTTATTTCGCTATTCCAGTTGTGTTTGTATACGAGTCCCCCCTATTGACTGTTATTATTAATTTGAATTATGTGAACATGAAGATATACGCTGGCAACAACGCCACCACCTCTCCGAATGTGCCTGAAACCAAGGGACCTTACTCGCTTTTATTGAAAAAGAAAATGTATCAGGATTTTTGTAAATATAAAAAATCGATAATTGGCTTCACTGATTCCATTACAAACAAAAGCTGAATTGATCCTATCGATACTAACGAACGTTCCTTGACATCTCTAACAACAACCAACTATTATATATATACATATATATTTTGTAAAATGTTTAAACAAGCTTTTAAGCATTATAAAAAAAAAGAACAATTGCCTGACCTACAAGATGTAATTGACTTCGACATTTATGATGCAAACAATTCCTCTTATAGTTGGTGTAATGTAAGTATGTAGATAAATGATTTGTATATCATGTCCACAAAAATGTACATACATATATGTACATATAAAGAAATTTTATTCATTGGTCCGTATATACAGAGGTGGTCAAAAGTATTAACACAACGTGCATTTTTTTGAGCATTCAACTTTAATTGCTTATTGCTGCAGCTTTTGTATTCAGATACCAAAATAACGGTTAGTGTCGTGTTTCTACATCTATGCAGAATCAAAAAAAAAATTGGATATGATAACTGTTCCAAGACTTAAAATAGATGGATTTGAACTGATGCCTATCAGTTGTCAAAAGTATTTACACCCATTTTGTTTGCGTCAAAATTATTTACACACTGCAAATTCGAGATAAGTCTTTGGTTTGCATTGAGTAAGTGAAGTTCTAGTTTATGTTGATCTCTTAATTGGAAGTTAAGCTAACTGTTAACAGTTAAGTTAATAGATAAATTGAAGCATTTAATTAATAGAATGGCAAAAACAAAGGAACTATCAGTTGAGTATCGAGCCGAGATTGTAACTAAATTTAAAACTGGTACTTCTGCATCTGAGTTGGCTGGGTTGTACAAAATATCGCGAAAAACTGTGTACAATTTAGATAAAAAGGACACTCTCGAAAAATTTGGAAAATAAAAAAAGAACTGGCCAAAAACATGTGTTGGACCTCAAGAGAATGCAGACACATAATAGGAGATGTACTAATTAATCCCACTATAAGTCCTGTTAAAATTGCCGCAGTTTCGAAAATGGAAACTGGAAAACATATTGGCGATAGTACACTGCGTCGCAGATTGAAGGAAGTTGACATTAACACATATGTTGTTCGTAAAGTAGTTGACATTACCCCAACAAACAAGGAAAAATGTCTCGCATTTGCCTTGGAGTACATAGAGAAGCCTCTCGAGTTCTGGTTTGATGTTTTATGGACAGATGAGGTTGCGTTTCAGTTTCAGGGATATTTTGGCAAGCAATTTATGCATCTGCCAAAAAAAAACGGAAGGGCAAAGCAGTCCAGCCAATCAACAGGTTTGGTGGTCGCACAGTGATGTTCTGGGGCTGTTTCAGCTATTATGGATTACCGATAGAGGGTACACTACATCAAACTGGATACCTCCATATCTTAAATGATCACGCATTCACCTCGGCAAATAGACTATTCTCTACGTATGGCGAATCCTACAGCAGGATAATGCTCCATGCCACAAGGGTCGAGCCCCAGCCAAGTTCTTGAAAGACCTAAATCAGGCGGTACTTCCCTGACCACCACATAGCCCCGATTACATTATCGAAACTGTATAGGCTTCCGTTAAGAGTCAGAGGACCACTGACAGAGATCGGCGACGCGACGAAACTATAGACGAAATTAAAGAAATTTAAATCAGCAAGACTCTAAGCAGTCATTGATGCCAAAGGCGGAGTAATTAGATATTAGTTGATTTAATTATATGTTAATAAAATATTTTGTTTAAATTGAATATAAAACACAAAAATCAACAAAAGAAACTGTGTGTAAATAGTTTTGACGCAAACAAAATGGGTGTAAATACTTTTGACAACTGATAGGCATCAGTTCAAATCCATCTATTTTAAGTCTTGGAACAGTTATCATATCCAATTTTTTTTTTGATTCTGCATAGATGTAGAAACACGACACTAACCGTTATTTTGGTATCTGAATACAAAAGCTGCAGCAATAAGCAATTAAAGTTGAATGCTCAAAAAAATGCACGTTGTGTTAATACTTTTGACCACCTCTGTATATATGTATACTGTTTGTCAAGTTTGCAATATGAAAAACCTCACACATATTCATTTTTGACTTAGACTTTACCGACTTAAACTAGTTTTTCTTAATTTTTTTTTTGCATGTAATTATTTTTCCAAGTATTCTTCATATATAAATTAAGGAATTTGTTCCTTAAGGTCTTTAAAAAAAAGTAACCGTTTATTAGTAGTGCTGCTTAAGAACTAATTTACAATGATAAGTACAAATTATATTAAAGCTAAAGCTCGTTTTCTGATTTGTAACTACGCTCGCTTCTGCAGCTGGTTCTGCTTCCACAACTTCCCTGGTTATCTGCTGTGTTGAAGCAAAGATCTTTCGTCTCATTGAGTACGCGATGATTCCGATCATTAACATCAACAATATTCTACATAGCGTAAAATTGATTGTTGTTGTAACGTTGTTGTAGCTCTTCAGGGTTTTCACATTTCACAATGTTTTCGTATTTTATTTCGTTTATTATATTACATTTTTGAATGGGCTTTAATAACATAGCAGTACATATTTCGTTTGCAATTAAAGGTATATTAATTATGTATAGCAGGCTTTTGCCATTTGTTGCTATCTTTATTTGAACAAATTCTAATAGTTCTTCTGCATTAGGTTTTTATATTATTTTTATGGACTTTTCTGCCGGTTTTTGTAGTAATGGTAGTGTTCCCGTTTTGGGTGTGAGTTTTGAACCTAGTCTGTTGTCTATTTTTACGTAAATGGTATTTTCAATGTTATAGTTCTTTAATTGTTTCTTTTTCATAATGTGGTATTTAAGATCTTTTTCTTGTTTCTTTATGATTTATCTTTTATCTTTTCTTTTCTTCTAATTTTTTTCTTTCTTTTTCTCTAATTCTATTTGTTAGGGATCAATTATATTTTGATTGCCAAAAATATCTATTAGTTTTCCTTTTACTGTGGAGTGTACGGATTGATTATGCAGTTGAACTGCTTTGAAGATTAGATCTTCTGAAATTTACGATACCCTCGTCTTTTTTTATATAACACATGATTTCAATTAGTGTTGAATGGAATCGCTCAACCTGGCCTATACTGGTAGATGTGTATGGCGGCGTCGTATAGACTGTTGCCTTTAGCTGGTCTTGCAGCAGAAATTTAATGGATGATGCGTTCAAAGATTTTTCGTTATACGTGACAACTATGTTCGGCATGCTGACTGCTATCTTGATTTCGCGTAAGGGGTGTTTTAAATCTTCAGCTGCCTTTGATTTAAGTATTTTAACTTGAGCGGGTTTTGAAAATTTGTCAATGGCAGTGAATGCTAGATTCTTTTGTGTTATGAACAAGTCGATATGGATTATTTGACCTGGGTACGAAGGTATTGGTGTTGTTTGGATTTCTCCACATGGTGGTCGTCTATCGTATTTGGTTTCTTTGCATGTTTCGCATGCTTTTGCAAGTGCTTGTTTTCTTTTTAATATGTGGGAAAAAGAATCTACTTAAGATCTGTATCTTGTTTTCTATGGGGCTGAAGTGTAAAGGGAATATATTTTGTATCTTACCCATAATCGCTTCTGAGGTGAACAACCCGTTCACAATTTTTGGGTCAAGTCGTTTCTATAAAATTTCTATTAGATTTTTTTCTGAATTTTTTTTTTAATTATATGTCTATGGTAAAATGGAAAAGGTATGCTAAACTCGTATGATTCCTCGTTTTAGGTCAATAAAAAACTTGGTTCTTAAATACGTTGATTGGTACTTCCATAACAGGTATTAGGTTGTGCGAGGAACTCTCGTCACTGTGCACGGTGGCACTGGTGCTATTTATTTGTTGATCTATAGGATTCCTAGACAACGCATCTGCTACAACATTAGATATTCCTGGTTTATACCTGAGCTCGTAGTTGAACTCTTCGAGGTAACTCTTCCACCTCTTGAGTTTACCATTATGATTTTTGTTACTAAGAGCAAAGGTCAAAGGCTGGTGGTCAGTAAATTTGACTACTTAAGCGGTACCGTATAGGTACATCCGCAAGCTCTGGAGAGCCCATCTGTGGCCAGCATTTCTTTTTCGTTTGCGCCATAATTTTCTTCGGCTTTCGAAAGAGTACGGGAATAGAAAGTAATCGGTCTGCCGTTCTGCTCGAGTACTGCTCCAATAGCGAAGTTCGAAGCATCGGTTGTCAATTGGAATTCTTTACCAAAGTCGGGGTATGCTAGTATCACGTCTTGGGAGGCAAGTGTTCGTTTAATCTTGTCAAACGAGTCTAACGCTTCATTATCCAGAGTGATTCTTATTCTACCTGAGATGTTATTTGAAGATCTACCGTTTTCTCCCCGAGAAGGGTAGTAAGGGGCTTTGCTATTTTGGCGTAGTCCCGTATGAACCTGCGATAATAGTTCGATAAACCTAGAAAAGATCGTAATTCTTTCATAGTATTAGGTACAGGGAATTTAATGACATTTTTTGAAATAGTGAAGCCCAAGAAATCGACTTCCGTCTTAAAGAATTCGCATTTATGAATTTGGATTTTCATGTCAGCCTTACATAAAAGGTTGTGCAAATCATTTCCAGTTGATAATATCGTCAATGTAAACGTAGCATATCTTGCCTACGTGATCCCTTAGAATGTCATATAGAGCTCTTTGAAGTATGGAAGAGGATTTCTTTAGAACGAAGGCGAAAGCCGTTTTCTCAATATCCCTTTCTTTGAGTGGGATTTGATGGAAACCGATCTTTAAATCGATGACTGAGAAATACTTATTTTCGCCCAATTGTGCGATTATTTCTCCGATTTCGGGAATTGGGTATCGATCTGAAACTGTTACGTCATTCAATTTTCTATAATCGATAACAATTCTGTAGTTTTTTTTCCCCAGATGCATCACACTTTTTTGGTACCACCCATATGGGTGCATTGGAGCTTTTAATGATGCGGGGTAAGGGTAATGTTTACAATATACTAGGGTATCCGACGTAGTTCTTATTTCACCCGCTACCTTAGTAGTTTATGTAAGTTTCATGTCAGGGTCGGAGAATACTTCCGCGTGGGTTTCCGTCAGTTAATCGATATATTGTTTCTGAGTTTCGGACTGGTGGTCTGCTCTAATTCTGATATTGTGTCTGTGCCTGTGTCACTAGTTGCTTTATGTTTATTCTGTAATTTCCATTTATTATTAGTACGTCGTTCCGTACGTCTATGGCATCGTTTTAAGGTATCATTACCCAGAATGCCATGGAAAGTTTTGAGTGTTGGTAGAAGGAAGAATTAAATAGGAACGTCTTTTAACCCAAAAAGTTTGAGACGAGTATGATGGGTAACTTTCGTTTGCCCACCAACGGAATTAGCAAAGAAGGGTTGTTCGTTGAGTTTGGGGTTCTGAACTAAATTGGACTGAATATAGTTTTGATTGGATCCTGTGTCAATTAAAAATCTAAGTGTCATGCCGTTCCCCGTTTTGCACTGAAAGTATGGCAACGAGGAACTATTTAGTCTAAAAAATAGACGTCTGAGGCATCTGCCGATACGGGCATGTATTCTTGCTCATTGTTCTCTTGATATTGACTAGGCAGTTCTGCAACTCCCTCTTGTTCTATAGTTTCGAAGTATCCCTGTTCCTCCACACCGATTCGTCGGCTCCATAATGCCGGTAGCAATGTGAAATTGCCTTTGGAATTTCTGAGGGGGTCCTGAGTAGGCTGCGGCAGGTGGTCGTTTTCCTGCTAGATCATTATTCTGAGGTTTGTTCATATAATTTATATAATTATAATTATATAATAATTTATATAATTATATGAACAAACCTCAGAATAATGATCTAGCAGGAAAACGACCACCTGCCGCAGCCTACTCAGGACCCCCTCAGAAATTCCAAAGGCAATTTCACATTGCTACCGGCATTATGGAGCCGACGAATCGGTGTGGAGGAACAGGGATACTTCGAAACTATAGAACAAGAGGGAGTTGCAGAACTGCCTAGTCAATATCAAGAGAACAATGAGCAAGAATACATGCCCGTAACGAAACAAACATATGTTTGGACCTAATAGACGGATCGATTTCCATGGGGATCGGTCTAGGCTCGGGTTTTTGAGCCTGTGAGCGCGGTGGCGCCGGAAAGTTCTGCCTATGAGGTGCGGCCTGTTGTGGTACACCATATTGTTGCTGCATGGGATGGGGTACCTGATATTGGTACATTGGAGCAGGCCATGTGCCTTGAGTTTGATAGTTTGCGTTCGATCGGACTTGCGGTGTATAGTACAACCTGGGGTCAAAGTTCTTTGCTTGACCAACCATGTTATTTAACACTGGTCTTTGCCCTAGGTGTTTCGTTACTATTTGATTTGGGGCTTGTCTAGGTGGTAAGGGTGGAGCCTGCTGTTTATATTTCGGAATGATTGCGTTCCTATGTTCCTGATTTTCTACTAATCCACACGAATGAAGTGCGTGGCTCAAGTATCTCGGTTCTTTAGTAGCTAATAGGCGAGGTAAATCGCCATTAAGCCCACGTACAAAGTTATCCAAGGATTTATCCCTATAATTTTTGGTTAAAGCTCTTACGGTTTCCGCTGATTCTTCTTGAGAGCTTTGGGGGTCTACGAAACCAAACTTTATTGCGCTCCTTGACAATTCATTTTTAAGAATGTCCAAGTAAAATTCTTTCGTCATCACATCATTGAAAATGCGCAGCTCACTAACACCTGTCGAGGATACGCAACCCCATACCATTACAGAAAGCTAGCCAACCTTTACTGTTGGTATTATATTTTTTTGTTCCACATCTGTATTGGGCTTTCTCCAAACTTTGCTAGGTCCGTCATGACAGTCTAACATTATTTTTGTCTCGTCGCAAAAAAATAGCGTCATCCCAGTAATCCACGGGCTTGTTGACATTGAATAGAAAAATTCATCCGTCTGAATATTTACTGCAGACAGTAATGGCTTCTGTCTGGCTAATAGCGAGGAGTACTTATGAATTTTTAAAACTTTACGAACTGTCTCGTGGCTCACTGGCTTCTTGCAATCATTTTTTAAGTCCGATGCCAACTGTTTTCTCGTTTTTAGGATTATCGTTGATGTTTTGAAATTTTTGAGTGATCGCGTCTAGTGAGCTTCGGTGGTCTGCCCCAGGAGTCCTTTTATTCCATCCTCTTTTCTTTTTCGGCGCGTTTAATAATATTATAAACAGTTCTTAACTAGGGAACATTTCCGCTAAATCCTTAGCAGATTTCCCCTTGTAGTGGTTACTTTTTGTTATGAATTTTGTTATTTTTGTGCCTTGTATTTATGAGGAATACTTAGAATAATAATTATCTGCAAAAAAATAGATACGAAAAATAGTTTAAGTCGGTAAAGTTTAAGTTTAAAAATTAATTTTTGCGATGTTTTCTATTTTTCAAAGAATTACAAGACAAACTGTACTTTGACGAACACTACTTTTGATCATTGACAATATAAACACTAAGATAAGTAACGCCATACAACAACGTGATACCGTGCAGCTTGATTTTCACAAATAGGAGAAGGAAATTAAAATCGGTACCCTTGCGCTCTCACAGCTCAAATAGTGAAAACGTTAATATAATAATTTTTAAGCTTCGGCTTTCCGGCCGTGCAAGCTATTATGTCTGCATGTAGGTAAAAATACATCCACCAAAGCATATTTGTATATGCAGCGACTACGATTTATCCCAAATTTGTATTCATTTGTGTATGTGTAGTCGATGCTAATATTTATGTTATTTTTTTAACAAATTTTCCAATTAACAGTTTTAGAACAACCATATCTGAGCCTTTCTGACCATACTCATAACCGGCAGCATGACAGCCAAAGCGCAAAAACATCGCTATTTAAAAAAAATTAAAACGTATGTTTTAACATATAAATTTTATTTATTATTGTAATTAAATCTATTCGGTTATATTAGTTGGCAAATAATTATAATATAATTGTTAATTAAGTATGAAGGAATAAACTAAATATTAGAATATCGGTAGAACGAACTCGTAAACAACCATTGGCTTAGACAAGAACTTCTCTCTAGCATACACTGCGCAAAAAAAAATTAGTAAAATCAAATAGGATATTTTCCGAATATAGCGGTATAATGTTTTTGTGCAAATGTATGCAGTGTACCAATAAATTCTTCGTACAGTGACTAAAAAATTCTTTGGAAACGAAAATAACTAAATTGCAGAAAAGCAAACAAAAAATGCTTAAATGCAGTTTTCTTTATCTATTAATTAACTAGTCGCAGAGCTTGCTGGAATGCAAAGTATTTGCTTGGCTAATATCTGCAGGAGTTTTACAATATTCGCTTCTTTTCAAAATGTAAGAAAAGAAAGGTCGGCATCAGCAGATGCATAATATTTTTCTATCTCAAAATATATTTCATTTTTACTCTCTAATTTTAGTTTTTTCGATTGGTTTGTGCCGAAGACATCGGAAAAGCTGTTTCTACGATTTTTAGGCGAAATTATGCAAACCATAACCATTGATTAAGAATAATACCTGTATGTGAATATAATATATTTGTTCACCTTGCATAACGTATTCGATGCATTGAACTACCTTTAAAACAAATGGGTTCCCAAAATATATGTTCAAATTACCTTAATCTGGGTTGATTATTAGGTACTATTTAATTATAGTATACCAGTTTTTAAACGGGCGATCAAGCCTTCATGTAAGAACTTACCCTACAGATAGCTTAACTCTTCCCAGCAGCCCATGGCCCTTTGCAGCGCCCACGACAGAACGCTCTATGTACCTTATGCCCTTCCATGTAGCGGTCACTCAGCTTTGGTATGTGGGTATCAGATTACGCTATGCTTATTCATGCATCTTAATTTTGGTGTGTCATTGAAATGATAAAACAAGTGCGAGGTTCTAGTCGGGAGGTCCCGACTAGGGGATACCCTGAACCCTCTTATTCCAATTAATCCAATTAATAGTAATTAAGATAAATTAAAAAAAAAAAGTCCCTTGGCAGGGTTCGAGAACTCGCAACTGACCGCGTTACTTGCCGTCGCCTCTACTCAACAGCCACACCAATAATTCAGTCTTAATGAGAGAAAAACGAATTAAAATAGCAGCACAGAAAACAATACAATCGCAATTCCAATGCTGTTGATAGAATTCAAAACAGACGCGCATGAATGTGTGTGTATACAGTAATTCTTGGAATTTGCGCTTGCTTTCCCAAACTCGAGGCCAGCCAAAACATGTTTTCTTTAATAACCGGTGAAATTTTCTACAATATATTATTGTACTAGAGAATATTCGTGTATTATCAAAAAGTCAATTGCATTTAAATTGTAGCTCATATTGGTGGGCAGCATAAATTGGTATTTTTACTTGATTTATAGCTATGAGGTAGTAGCGGGGAGGTGGTGATAGCTAAAAAAGGGAAGATACTTAATATATATATACTATTCTATAATCTACATGTCAAGTTTGGTGACTCTATCTCTAATTATTTGCCAAAATTGCTGCAGAAACAGGATTTCGATATGGATTTTTATCGATTTCTTAGAAACGGGACAAGTTATCGAATATGTGACACAAACTCGATCTGCGCGGGTACTAGGAGGGCCTACAGCTAAAATTTCAAATCTCTAGCTCATATAGGTTCTTAGATCCTTGCGTTTATACACACGGACAGACGGACGGACAGACAGACATGGCTAGATCGACTCGGCTGTTGATGCTGATGAAGAATATATATACTTTATGGGGTCTGAGATGCTTCCTTGTGCTTGTTTCATACATTTGCACAAAAACATTATACCCTTTTTACCCATTTTTAATGGGTTGAGGGTATAAAACTTGTTTTGCGCTAATAAACTTCTGCACATGTACACTTAAATACGTACGTATCAATTGGCAGTGTATATACCCCCCAGTGTATATACCCCTTAAATACCCCTTAGCAGTGGGTATTGTTCCCATGTAAGTTGCCCTAGCGATTTATCTGGTGACAAAGGTTTTATAAGTTAAATTATTCAATGGTTAAACTTAGATTTATTTAAGCACTAGTACTTGGTACTCCTGTGTTATTCCACATAATTATAATCATAATGTTTAATTCCATTTTTCTTGCCTACCTGCTTAAAAATGCTGATCACTGTTAATGCGAACAGGATTCCCAAAGACTTCAGACCAACCTTCCAGCTTCTTAACTAGTTGTAATTTTGGTCGGGTACGTAGTCATAAACTTCATAAAGCCATTTACCAGAGTGAAAATGTATTTACACTGTTTGGTTCAAATCCATTGTCTTAAAGTTGTCGACGTTTATTATCTGTAGCTCGTATCTGGTAAGTATCCTTTAATAAATTTGCAGAAAAAAATCGTTAGCCGTAATGATTGAATTACTTTTACACTGCCGCTCTGGAAACTCACTTATGAAAAAAAATTTTTTGGTCGAATATAGCACATCCATTTTATTTTATCCGGTACTCAATTGCTTTGAGAAAATCGTGTTTCATAATATCAAAACATGTGTCCGCCCTTACTGTGTGTATGATTTTCATTCAAACAATGTAGCAAAAAAAAAAAAATGACTAACGATTTACTTAATTCAAGGGTCGCTCTGTTACATTCGAAAATACGCTCTTTTAGCCATTTTCAAAATCAGTAACTGTGAAAAATCTCCACTACGTTATCAACCGGTACCGGGAAAAAATGCGTGAGAATCATCTTTTTAGGCCGGCGGTAGTCAACGCAAACGTGATTGCTCACATGCTTCTTCCTTACCACCACCAAACGGCTAGCCAAATTTAATAACGAACGCTGAATGATGCCTGCGTCAACACACTTATTAATTTCCTGCTTAATTTCTTGCGCCATTTTAAGAGCAATACTGCTTGTCGAATGCTGAAATGGCATTATGTTTATTTTTATCATCGGATTGTGATTTTAAATCAACGTCTGCCTTTCATTTTTAAACTGTGAAGTATTTTATTGAAATTTGGGAGGGAGCGAAAAATCGTAGCCGACTGCTGTCGTAAAGGTGGAATTGTATATAAAATCATACTCCAGCAAAGCATCGCACCCGATGGCGTCATTGACCCGACCAAGAACTTGTGAATCACATGCACATCGTCGATATCTGCTTCAGATTGTCAAATGTTTTGATTCGCACACTAACGCTCTTTAAGCGATGTGCATACTTACGTTCTTCCCTTTACTTCACATACGAGCTCTACTATTTTTTTTCAGCCCTGCACACTTTGTCTTCTTTAAATGCCTTAATCAACTGGTCTTACGGTGTGTTCTACTCATACACTGTCGTTAATGCAAAGAACAAAGCTGCCATCTGCTCTTGCTCACTTGGATGGTGTGAATGTTTTACGATATTATATCAATGAGCTACTGTAGTATCATGTAATTTTCGTCTACAATAAATTCACTCGTTGCAGTGTTTACGTTCATTTCATTGGCAATAGCTCTCTAAATTCCACGCTTACGGATGACGATGTCTGCTGGACTACACGATATATCTGGTAACTTTTGTAAAACTTCGTTGAATGATTTTACTTCAAGTGAGTTTTCAGACTGATTTATTCGTAGTCAATCAAAATTAAATTAAAATTAAGCTAGGCAGCTCGAGGTCAATGTTGATATAACAACAAACTGAGTGTGAACAACAGCCGAGCTAATATAGCCACATCCGTCTGTCTCAGTTTTATAGCTTCCTTCTTGGAACTTCGCATACATAGGTCCGCCTTTCAGTTGCAAACATATGTCAGAACCGCCGGGTTGTACCACTCTACCATACTACTACCATAGGAACGTTGACCAAACTCGGCATTTGCTAGTTTATTATTCATATATTAGACAAATCTAATCGATATCGCAGTACTATATTATATATCACATGGTAGCATTACCGCCAATACTGTGGCTGACTCGTCCGACAATCCGGAATCTAGAAATAGCGCGGAGTGCGCTGAGCCTGTAGAGGTCTGACATTTTCCTCCGGAAGCTTTTCTGGCTTGCAACCGCTGATGCCCATATCGGTGCAGCATAGAGCAGCACGGAGGCTACAACTCTTGCCAGAAGTGGACGTCCTCCTATGTTAGATAGCATCCTCGAAAGGGTCGCCTGCTTTCTGGCTAATATAATATACTTGAGGTCGAAAGCTAAGCCTGTTGTCTAACATGAACCCCAGATACTTGATGGAAGCCTATGACTAGATACTAAAGTTGTCTACCTAGAATCTAATAAAAACCAACTATTTTGCGGCTTGTGATAAGCACAGCCTCTGTTATACCACTAACCAAAAAACATATAGACCGGACATGCAGAGTAAAATAGGTGGTCTCCAAAAATTGGTTTGCATCTGGTCCAACGAGCGAGTAAAATATACATATGACATCTTTTGATCGCTCACACTACAGGAAACTCCTTTGGCTTACTCTCTTCCATATGATTTGTGCGATAGAACGGCATCGCTGTTTTTTATCTCGCTCCCACTACAGGAAACTGCTTTGGCTTACTCTCTTCCATATGATTTGTGCGATAGAACGGCATCGCTGTTTATTTTTATCTCGCTCGCACTTACTCTCAGTGCTCTCAATGCTCTCTTCATGTCTAGGTACCG